TTCCTGCTTTTACAAGCCACTGAGACTTGCTTGGGGTGACTGCCTCGATCCGCGGCTCTGATTGGAGGGCTTAAGGCCACACCCCTGAGAAACAATCACCAAAGCAGGGCAGGGGCACCGAATGGGATGCTGGCGGTGGGACTGCCTTAGGTGCAAGGAGGAAAAAGCGGCAGCATGTTGCTGAAGAAAGACTTGAGATTTCATTGCCCAGAAGGGGGGGAGGGACTGTATTGCAGTCACGGTCGCTCAGGCCTGGCCTGTGCAAAGAAAAGAGAGGACTCGTTTTTGCAACGGGAGGCCAGGGGCCTGGCGGAGGACGGATCCTGGCTCCTGAGGCCCAAGGAAGGAGACCTTTGAGCTCCCTGCCCGAGATGGAGGCACGCAACTGCGTGCCTGGAGTCCCCTTGGACTGCTGTGCGCCAGCAATAAGCCGGCTGCTGGCTTTGGGGGCCCAGCACTGGGATTCTGCACGGACAGCATTTCTCGAGGTCAGGCCGGCCGTTTTTGGCTCCCACGAGGACAAGCACCGAGTTGGAGCTGAGACCGTTTGAGGATGTGTTACTGAAAAGCGGGAACGACTGATGAACCAGCTCCCGAGGCGCACTGTGAACGTCCAGTAAGCCTCAGAACACCTCCCTCCACATCCTGACCTTCTCGGGCCTCCTGCAACAATCAGGGGGGGGGAACTTGGCATCTAAAACTGCTGACGCCGGCATCTGTTGCTTCTTGGCTGCTCTGAAGCCAGGAGACTTCTTTCGACTTTGGCAAAAGCATCTCTCATTAAGTTTATTCTGTTGACGGCCAGAACGAGGGTCCCTAGCAGATGTGGCTTCGGAGGCGGCGGCACATGGCTCAACTCTACAGTTGCAGTTCCAGGGCCGGGGCCTGAATTGTGCCTTGAGATACTGTTAAGCTGCCATTTCACGGACATCGAAGCAGGGAGGCTTTTCTAAAAAAGGACTGTAAGCATGCCTCTGAGTTTTAAAATCACAGAATGACTCACGCGCTGCATACGGAACGTCACCCTAGACTGGCAAGTGGAAGTAGAACCAACGACTTGCACTTTTTCAAAAAAAGAGAACTGTAAATAAAATGGGTATTTTTCAGCAAAGGAAATGTGAGCATTTTTTTTTTATGGTGGCGGTGGGAGCTGGAGAGCTTTAGGGATCAGGTGATCTCCCAGCGTCCCACTTGAGGAGGAGTTCTGGTGAGCTCAAACAGTCGCCCAGGGTTCTGTGTCCGTTTGGATGGTCCAGTTGTTAGCTACAACCACTGGCAGGAGGGGAGTAGAAGGAAAGAACGGGAGACATTTATGGGACGTCCGAGAAGCTCCTAGAATGTGCCAGTTCGGTGTAGTGGTTAAGAACGTGGACGCCAGTGTTCCCTCTAAGCTGAGTCAGTGTGAGCTATCTCAGTTTTTTTTAGCTTCTGGCTCACTCCTTTTTGTCTCCGCTCGGGAAGGATGGGGCTCCAGAGCAAACTGATTGATGCAGCGGCCAAACCGCTCGCTCACAACTTCAATGCCAGGAGCTCACAAAGTAGAATTTTTGCTCACAAGACTCCACTGCTTAGAGGGAGCAGTGGTGGACTCTCATCTCAGAGAATTAGGTTTGATTCCACGTGCAGCTGCTGGTGTGACCTTGGGCCAGTCACAAGTTCTCTCAGAGCTGTTCTCTCAGGGGCAGTTCCCGAGAGAGCTCTCTCAGCCCCACCGACCTCACAGGGTGTCTGTTGTGGGGAGGGTTTGTAAGCCGCTCTGAGACTCCCTTTAGGTAGTGAAGGGCCATGGGGTATAAATACAATCTCTCTTCTCCTTCTTACACTCCTCCCCCCATTTGTATATATTGCGAATGCACAACTAGCAACGGCTACTGTGGCGTTCGAAGCGTGGTCGACCCTGTCTGGTACTCGGATGGGAGACCACCAAAGAAGTCCAGGGCGGCTCTGCAGAGGCAGGCAAGGGCAAACCCACCTCTGAACGTCCCGCCTTGAAAACCCTATAGGGTCGCCAGAAGGCGGTTGTGACTTGACGGCATTTACCACCACCATAGTTCCCTCTAAGCTGAGTTAGTGTGAGCCAGCTCACAGATTTTTAGCCTCTGGCTCACACATTTTTGTCTTAGCTCAGGAAGGATGGCTCCAAAGCAAACTGATTTATGCAGCAGCCAAATCGCTCGCTCACAACTTTAATGCCAGTAGCTCACAAAGTAGAATTTTTGCTCACAAGACTCCACAGCTTAGAGGGAACATTGACCACCACTACTGTTAAGATGGGCCATATCATCGTTTTGCCTATCCTAGCATTGTCTGTCAAGCTTACAAACACTTTCTGGGGTCTTTCTCTTCTGCATGAAAACCTGGGGCCTTCTGCATTCAAAGCAGGTACTCCTGCTATTGGTCTCCGATATAGGGTGAGAGGCAAAGAGCCTTTAACTGCATGCAGAGCACTTGTTCTCGGCGCTCCCACAGGCCAGAGGTAAAACGGTGTGTGTATGTAGAGAATATCCCTCTGTAATGAATCCATGCTTTGGGGCGTGTGTTTCTTTATTATTATTATTATTAATAATAATAATAAAGGGACTAACAATGATAGGGGTAAGGAAGGACAACATATATCTTTAAATCGCACACATTTCGCAGCCGACGGGGAGTTTATCCAGCGGTAAGCTTCAGACGTGTTCCAACGGCATTCTCCCTTTAAATGTTGAGTTTGACTGCAGTAATGTAAAGGAGAGTGGTAGAGGGAGAGGAGTGTGATGTGATTGGCTGATGACAGCGAATGTGGGGGGAGAGATGTCTCTGAGGTGATTCTGGGTTTTAGAGAGAAGAGTGTGGAGGGTTTTTATTTTTAGCCTGTATGGCTAAAGTACTGCAAGAAGATCAAATCAGTCAATCCTAAAAGAAATCAACCCTGACTGTTCCCTGGAAGGCCAGATAATGAAACTGAAGCTCCAAGACTTTGGCCACCCAATGAGAAGGGAGCCCTCACTGGAGAAGAAGACCCTGATGCTGGGAAAGACTGAAGGTCAAAGAAGAGGGGGACGGCAAAGGATGAGATGGTTAGACAGTGTCATCGATGCAACGGACATGAAGTTGAGCAAACTCCAGAGGACGGCGGAAGACCGGAAGGCCTGGCGTGATCTGGTCCATGGGGTCATGGAGAGTTGGACTTGACTGTGCGACTGAACAACAACAATGGCAGAAGAGGCAGTTTGAGTCCATCCTGTGTGGCTAAGAGGAGCAGAGTTTAGCCTGAGTGGCTAAGGCTGTCAGAGTTGAAGTTTTGGCGTTCTGAGAGAGAGTGTGTGACGCCCGGCTTTATCAGTTATATTTATAAGTTCCTTTCTTCAACAACGGTCCAAAAATACCCAGAAGCCTATTTTATTCTTTTATAAATACATCGTTATTTGTTTAAACTTATCCCCGCAGTCAGAACAGTCCTTCCTCAGGGCCACATAGTCCTCTGAAGCGCCCAGACACAGGGTCGTTCTACCAGAATAGAGAGATTTGGTATTTTTTGATTCCTGGCGGCGGCAGCAATCTACCAAGTTTACGGGAACAATGTGTGTTTTAAAAGGATAAACAGTCTCCCCGATAAGGAAGACATCATACCCTCCTTAACTGGGGGCTGATACAAAACTTCGGAAACGTCTCAGCAGCCTGCCTGAAACTAGGTACATTTCTGCGACCGGCAGAGTTGCATGGTGAGCTGCGGGGGGACCCACAAAATGTCTGGAGGGAGAGGCCGACTGGGGCCCAGCGCTGCAAATCTGGCTCCTGAGTGGCACCAGAGTGGCAAACCGCACATACAGATGGGCAACTATCCTTTTCTCAAGACGGCACGTAAGAGGCAGCCGGGAAGGACCAAGACCAGTGTTCCCTCTAAGCTGAGTCGGTGTGAGCCAGTTTGGTGTAGTGGTTAAGTGCGCGGACTCTAATCTGGGAGAACCGGGTTGGATTCCCCACTCCTCCACTTGCACCTGGCTGGATGGCCTTGGCCCAGCCACAGTTCTGATAAGAGCTGTCCTCGAAAAAGAGCAGTTTCTGTCAGAGCTCCCTCAGCCCCGCCTACCTCACAGGGTGTCTGTTGTGGGGAGGGGAAGGGAAAAGAGTTTGTAAGCTGCTCTGAGACTCCAAGTGAAGGGCGGGGTATAAATCCAATCTCTCCTCTTCTTCTTCTTCTGATAAGAGCTGTTCTTGGAAAAGAGCCATTTCTGTCAAGAGCTCTCTCAGCCCCGCCTACCTCACAGGGTGTCTGTTGTGGGGAGGGGAAGGGAAAGGAGTTTGTGAGCCGCTCTGAGACTCCGAGTGAAGGGCGGGTTATAAATCCAATCTCTCCTCCTCTTCTTCTTCTTCACAGTTTTCCCGCCTCCGGCTCACCCATTTTTTACTCAGCTCAGGAAGGAGGGCTCCGGAGCAAAGTGATTCATGCAGTAGCCAAATGGCTCGCTCACAACTTTAGTGCCGGCAGCTCACAAAGCAGAATTTTTGCCCACGAGACCCCACAGCTTAGAGGGAGCACGGATCAAGACGCAAGCACACTTAATCCACAAAGCAAGCAGCACCTTTGACGAGAGTCGATGACTCCATTTATTCCAAGAACGGTACATGATTATTTCGGTCCCCCCCCCCCCCGGGAAAAAAAAAAAGAAGGAAGGATGGTCCTTTTAACTGGAGATGCCGGGGATTGAACCTGGGACCTTCTGTATGCAAAGCAGAGACTCTTCCACTGAGCCACGGCCCCTGTCTAAATGAACTTAACTCAGATTAGTGGTCTATTATGGTCAGTCTTGTCTACTCAGACTGGCAGCAGCTGTCCGGGGTCTCCTGGTCCTTTCAACTGGAGATGCCAAGGATTGAACCGGGGACCTTCTGGGTACCAAGCAGAGGCTCTGCTACTGAGCCACAGCCCCTCTCTTACCACTTCAGACTGCGGGGAGCCTCACGCGGCTGGCCGCTTCTCCCTCCCTGCAAAACCATGCGATGGAGAAGTCGCCCTAGGCAAGCTGTGCATGAAGCGGCCTTTGATACCAAGTTAGATCGTTGGTCTTTCAAGGCCAGCAGGGGCTCTCCACTTGCAGTGTTCCCTCTAAGCTGACTTAGTGTGAGCTAGCTCACAGTTTTTTAGCCTCCGGTTCACAGAGTTTTGTCTTAGCTCGGGAAGGATGGCTCCAGAGCGAACTCATTTCTGCAGTAGCCAAATCACTTGCTCACAACTATAATGCCGGTAGCTCACAAATCAGAATTTTTGCTCACAACTATAATGCCAGTAGCTCACAAATCAGAATTTTTGCTCACAACTATAATGCCAGTAGCTCACAAATTAGAATTTTTGCTCACAACTTTAATGCCAGTCGCTCACAAATCAGAATTTTTGCTCACAAGACTCCGCAGCTTAGAGGGAGCATTGCTCTCCATACATTCCCTCACATCACCCACGATCCTTTTAACAGCAGATGCTGGGGACTGAACCTGGGACTGCCTGCATGCCAAGCATGTATGCCCAGTAGAAGGCTGGGCGCACACCGGATGGGGCCAGTGTTCCCTCTAAGCTGAGTTAGTGTGAGCTAGCGCACCCTTTCTTAGCCTCCGGCTCGCACATTTTTGTCTTCGCTCAGGAAGGCTGGGCTCCAGAGCAAACTGATTTATGGAGTAGCCCAATTGCTCACTCACAACTTTAATGGCCAGCAGCTCACAAAAGCAGGATTTTTGCTCACAAGACTCCACAGCTTAGAGGGAGCATTGCGGGGCTGTGTTTAGGATGTGGCAAAGAGGACTGACTGCCACCCGCCGTCATTCTTTGCTTCTCGGAAGCTTCGTAAATCTTGCTGTGTTGCTTGCGTGACAAGGCAGGGCTTCGTGTAGGCAACATGAAACAGGGGTTCCCATGCGCACACGCACCAGATAAGATGCTGCGCCCTCTTCTGCTCAAAGCGACGCTTGTAAATATGTTGGCCTCATTCCCATGTTTTTTGGGTTTTTTGCTACGTCTTAAAGAATTTACAGGAAACAACTCACAGGTGTGTCTCAGCAACAGCAAACTAAGTCGGGTTTGGGAAGGAATCCTTTTGGCTTTGTTGAAGAACGAGGTAGGGCAGGTTCAATTCCTCAGGCCTCGCTGGCTGATGGATCTAAGCTGACCTTTGGGAACCCCGTCCTCTCAGGCACCAGGGTTTGCAGACACCACTCGATTAACCCGCAGGTGCGTACAGTGAAGGGGACAGAGGAAAGAGGGGACCCACAGGTACGTACAGTGAAGGGGACAGAGGAAAGAGGGGACCCACAGGTACGTACAGTGAAGGGGACAGAGGAAAGAGGGGACCCACAGGTACGTACAGTGAAGGGGACAGAGGAAAGTGGGGACCTGCGGTTGCTAAAATGGGCAGTTTATCAGGCTCCTGAGAAATACCAAACCGCCTTCTGCCGCTCGCTCAGAGCTTCCGGCTTCGAAAGGGCACACTCACAGCTCTTCTGGCTTCGCGGCGGGACTTCATCCCGTCTCTGCTTCGCCAAGCAGACCGGGCACCCCTTCTGCACCACAGCCTGCCTGCCTCTCCCTTGGACGGGTACCGACGGCTCTCCGGGCGGACGGCCAAGTGGCTCTCGCGCTCACTCTCAGGCAAACACAGCTTCCGGGTGGAAAAGTCACCCGACGTCAGAACCCCTGCGAGTAAAACGGAGGGCCTTTTAAAGCATGGGCGAGTGTGCCGCACAGTCTTTCAAAGGGGCATGTACCCGAGCGCAGGAAAAACACAGTGTTGGGCAGCACCGTCTGCGAGGGAGGCGATAAGGGCAAGATTTCCGGGTGCATCTGCACAACCCACTTGAGACCCACTTTCACAGCCCTCGATTATTATTATTTTTTTGCAAGGATACCGAGATGGCTTTGAGCGCTGGTCTGCATCACAAACGTAAAGGGAGAAAAGAGCAGGACCCCAGGAGCACCTTAAAGGTAAAGGTTCCCTTGCTCGAAAGCCGGTCGAGTCCGACTCTAGGGTGGCGGTGCTCATCTCCGTTTCAACGCCGAAGAGCCAGCGCTGTCCGAAGACGTTTCCGTGGTCATGTGGCTGGCGTGACTAAACACCGAGGCGCACGGAACGCTGTGACCTTCCCACCGAAGTGGTACCTATTTATCTACTTGCAATCTCTTGCTTTCGAACGGCTAAAGACTAACAAAATCTGTGACAGGGGAGGCGCTTTCGTGAGCCACTGCTGCAAATGTTGTTGAGCCTTTAGGTTGCTACAGACAGTGGCCCATCTAAATCATAGAATCAGAGTTGGACGGGACCTCCAGGGTCATCTAGTCCAACCCCCGGCACAGTGCGGGAAATTCACAAATGCCTCCCCCCCTCACACCCCCAGTGACCGCTGTTCCATGTCCAGAAGCGCTCTAACCCTCAGGAAGTTCTTCCGAATGTTAAGCCGAAAACTCTTCGGATTTCATTTCAGCCTGTTGGTTCTGGTCTGACCTTCTGGGGCAACAGAAAACAACTCTGCACCATCCTCTCTATGACAGCCCTTCAAGTACTTGAAGATGACCATCATAAAAAGTAAAAGGGGGATCAAAGTCTCCCAGATACTGAGACCATCCAAGGGAGCCTAATTAGCATGGCACTTTCGACAGAACTACGGTTCCTAATAAGGGGGAGGGGGGAGTGAAGCTGTTTGAACCAGGTTTTTAAAAAAGGTGGAGCAAATGTGCCCTTAATGCTAATTTGACCCATTTTTCTGAACAGTATCCCAGCAGGGCAAGCAGAGGGTGCTGGAGCGCCCACGTGCCATTGTGCTACTAGCCACCTGGACCCAGACCCAGCAACCGAACTCTCCCACTCACCTTCCTCTGCCGCTAGGGCTGTTTCTGGGGCGCTTTGGCCTTCGGCGGACTCTGAAGTCTCTCGAGATTTTGGCTGACAGAATGAAGGGCTTTCCCTGGGGAAACACAGGCAAGCTGTTAACATCACAGGTTTCAGGGACACAGACATTTTTTCCCAGCAGCCAGAAGTAGTATCAACACAGATGGAGGTCTGTCATTATTCTGCGCAACCTCACACGAAGGGGTCCCCTTCCCACCCTTCCGCTATCACAGGGTGGTCTGAAGACGAAGGAGGAGGAGATTGGATTTATACCCCGCCCTTCACTACCCAAAGGTGTCTCAGAGCGGCTTACAAACTCTTTTCCCTTCCCCTCCCCACAACAGACACCCTGTGAGGTAGGCGGGGCTGAGAGAGCTCTTTCGAGGACTGCTCATGAGAGAACAGCTCTTATCAGAACTACGGCTTGCCCAAGGCCATCCAGCCAGGTGCAAGTGGAGTAGTGGGGAATCAAACCCGGTTCTCCCAGATTAGAGTCCACGCACTTAATCACTACACTGAACTAGCGAGCATTCGATTACCCTTTCAGACCTTACCCACTTCTCCCACACACTCCTCCAGAAGAGTTGACAGCTCAGGCAGGCTCAGGGCCTTCAAGGTGGAGGGCCCTTCTGTGGGACCTAAAAAAAGAGGAGGGGGGGAAAAAGAATTTGCAGAGAAGATCCTTGGTCTATCAGCCACTGGCCCATACCGTGCCAAACAAGGAAGTGAAACACAGAGAGGGTGTCGTGTGTGTGTGTGTGTGTCAGGATAGTGACTTCAAACAGGGAAGGCCAACTGGAGGTTTCCAGGTTGAATCTGGGCCCCAAAGCAACTGTATTTGGCCCTTTCCCCAATTTGAATCAAGAAGAAGGAATTGGATTTACACCTTGCCCTTCACTACCCGAAGGCATCTCAGAGCAGCTTAAGACCTCCTTTCCCTTCCCCTCCCTACAACAGACACCCTGCAAGGGAGGTGGGGCTGAGAGAGAGCTCTTTCGAGGACTGCTCTTGAGAGAACAGCTCCGAGAGAACTTGTGACTGGGCCAAGGCCACACCAGCAGCTGCACGTGGAGGCGTGGGGAATCAAACCCGGTTCTCTCAGATTAGAGTCCACGCTCCTAACCACACCACCAAACTGGCTCTTTTACAAAACAAGTCCCCAAGATCGTGGTAAAAAGCTGTCTTCATGATTTCACTTTTAAGTTAAGAACGCAGATTGTCCCCATGCATTTTCCACCTGAACAAGCAGGCATCCAGGGGAAAACATGTCAAGGTGGTGATTCTGGGTCTCAGGGGAAACTGACCTCTCCAAACGTCGATGCAGATGGAGCAGGTCGAGAAAGAGGTACTTTTCTCCCTTTCTCACAAGACAAGAACTCCTCGTGGGCACTCCATGAAATTGCTGAGTGATCGGGTTAGAACGGATAAAAGGAAGGACTTCTTCACACAAAAAGAGAGTGATGAACACATGGAATTCACTGCCACAGGAGGTGGTGGCGGCTACAAGCATGGACGGCTTCAAGAGGGAATCAGATAAGCATATGGAGCAGAGGTCCATCAGTGGCTCTTAGCCACAAGGTATAGATAGGGGCTCTGGGGCAAGGGATGCTCTGTCTTCTTGGTGCTTGGGGGGGGGGTCAACAGTCAACAGTGGGAGGGCTCCTCGTGTCCTGGCCCCACTGCTGGACCTCCTGATGGCACCTGGTATTCTTGGCCACTGTGTGACACAGAGTGTAGGACTAGAGGGGCCTTTGGCCTGATCCAACATTGGCTTCTCTGATGGTCCTATGAGGCCTCCCTCCCACTTACCAGCTCCTGGGGGCGCTTTAGCCTCCGACGGCCATCCGGCCATGTGTCCTCGAGCCAGCCGAGAAGACAGTTCCACCTGGCAGGCCCTACCGAAAGAGACCAAAGGCCATCAGTGGGGTGTCCTGGATACAAAGCGAAGCCGCAGGTGTGGGGGGCTGGGGGCTGTGCGACGCCCCTGAGGGAGCTGCAGAAAGCGTTCTGGAGTGAACTCCAGCAAGGCTCCCGAGGACGCGACTGGGGATCAGCGTGGCCGCGCCAGAAGCTGGGGACAGGAGCGAAGGGGGAGGGGAGGACAGGAGAGTCCGCGGGGAAGAGCCACCTTCTCCATTCCAGGCCCGCACGCACCTGCGGCCCTCGTGCCCAAAATGAAAATTCTGCACCACGGAACGTGGCCTTCTGCAGCCAAGGATTGGAGACTGTTCGCTCTGCTAGGTGGGGGGGGGGGGACTCGTTTTTGTGAAACATCCGTGTTAATCAGGGCTCTTTTTGTAGAAAAAGGCCAGCAGGAACTCATTAGCATAACAGGCCACACCCAACAGCTGAAACTCATTAGCATATTAGGCCACACCCCTGACAGCACAGCTCATTTGCCTATTAGGCCGCAGCCCCGTGTTGCCAAAAGTGTGCTCATCCAGCCACACCCACCTTTTGCTTTTTATTCTGTTTACCTTGTTTGTGGTCCAAACCCAGGGCTTTTTTTTTTGTAGCAGGGACTCCTTTGCATGTCAGACCACACACCCCTAATGTAGCCAATCCTAGTGAGTTCCTGCTCTTGGGTGTGGCCTATTATGCTAATGAGTTCATGCTGGGTGTGGCCAACTCAGGAGCCAGCTGGAACTCCGTTCCTGTGCGTTCCTGCCCCCAAATAGCCCTGGTGTTAATGTAACCACAAGAGGAGTCCCGTCTTTCGTAGAGTGTCCCCAAGACCTGACGTGGAAGGCGCAAGCTAGCTTGATCTTTTTCTTTTGTATTTTTTCTTTTTGGAAGAAAATTGCATTTTCTATAAGCTACAAAGAAACAAGGAGAGGGTAACTAACAACAAGCTACAGGTGAAACTAAAGAGAACCACTAAAAACCCAAGAGGTGGTGGTCATACATTGCTTACAAAATTAGCTTTTAGGCAATTAAGATTCGTTAACACTGAAGGTGATCAAAAAGTGTCTCGCCCTGCTCATAGCCTTTCCAGCTAATCAGACTATCCAAAGAGACAAACAAGAGCATAATTAATTTTCACCAGTGCAAACATCAGCATCTCGTTTTTAAAAATGTTGCTCCCCCAATTGGTAACCGCCCCGCCCCTCTTAAAACCAGGACTTCTTCAAACATATATATAGACTATCTCATCTCCCCTTCCTTTATTACAATCTTTACCTTCTTCTCCTAATGTTCCGTATTCTTACGGCAAGCCTTAAAAACAGTTTCAGTTCTTTCCTGTTCTTTCAGTTCTTGCGTTTGTATTTTTTAATGCGTGTGTGTGCGCACCTGGAAGTCGTGTCGGCCTCTGGTGACTGCCCCCTACTGGGGGCCCGGAGGATATTCAGAGAGGTGGCTGGATAAAGCCTGCCCCTGTCCTCCCGACTGCTGGTATTCCTTGGAGGTCTCCCATCCAAGTTCTTGCCAGGGTCGGCCCTGCTTAGCTTCCGAGATCTGACGAGATTGGATCGCCTGGGCTATCCAGGTCAGGGCAGGCCAGCCTGACCGTGACAGCTCTGGGAAGCTAAGCAGGTACTTGGATGAAAGACCGCCAAGGAAGTCCAAGGGCATCTACCAGTGCTCCCTCTAAGCTGTGGAGTCTTATGAACAAAAACTGTACTTTGTGAGCTACCGGCATTAAAGTTGTGAGCGAGTGATTTGGCTGCTGCATAAATCAGTATGCTCTGGAGCCCCATCCTTCCAGAGCGAAGGCAGAAACGTGTGAGCCGGAGGCTAAAAAGCTGTACGCTAGCTCACACTCACTCAGCTTAGAGGGAACAGTGCGGCCAAGGGAGCCCAGGGGTGCCCACGCATACAATATAATTTTTCTGCTTATGTTGGCAATTCATTCACGGAGCGTCTTTATAGTTATACAGTCTCCTCCCGTGAGCTCTCCTTTTTGATCTACAACAGCACAGAGAATGGCCGTTTACCAGCACCCCTTTTAGTCATAATGACACAGTGGAAAGCTAGAAAAACGTTTCTTTTTTAGACGTATTTTATTGTTCACTGGAATGAAAACCGTCGAGAGGAGAGAGAAAAAGCCTCCTCGGCCTCAAAACCGAGGTGAGGAAAAACATGGAGAAGAGCAGCGGGGATCGTCTCTCCGTGGCGGCAAAAAGAGAACCGCGGGAGTAGCGCCCGTCCTCCCGGTCATGTGAGCGTTTTGACAGGAAAGCACGAGCGGGTTGCCTGCACAGAAGACCACTCGACGGACAACGGTGACAGGTGAGCGCAACCCCGTTTTCCCAGGCACCAGCTCCCACGATAATCCTGGTGCATGGAGTTCTCCCATTTCTGATTCTCCCCCCCCACACACACACACACTGCCACAGATGGAGGGGCAAGCAAGGAGCTAGCAGGGAAGGGGGCACAGACAAAGGAGCCAGATGGGAAGTAGGGGGGGGCTCACCGCATCCGCTCCAGCAGGACCCCGGCGTCCCTGGCCGCGGCCTGCACCTCCCGCAGCTTGGCCTGGGCCTCGCTCCAGGCCACCTCCCGCTCCATCAGGCAGCTCTCGACCACGGCGCGCAGCTCCTGCTCCTGGGACACCTGGCCCTTCAGCGCTTCCGCCTCCTCGCACCTCTGCAAGGGATCAGCAGGAGTCAGCGGCACCGCCCGGCACCCAGCGGCACGCAAGACCGCTCGGCCCGAGAACCACGAGGATGATCTTATGTTTCACTTGAGGATGAAGGGGAGGGACACGCTCGCTCAGGTCAATGAGGGCTTCCCCGCTCCACGGAATCGGATGTCTCGGCCAATGCTCCCTCTAAGCTGTGGAGTCTTGTGAGCAGAAATTTTACTTGGTGAGCTCCTGGCATTAAAGCTGTGAGCAAGAGATCTGGGGAGTGCATCAATTAGTTTGCTCTGGAGCCATCCTTCCTGAGCTAAGAAAAAAAAGTGTGAGCTGGAGGCTAAAAAACTGTGAGCTGGCTCACAGAGACTCAGCTTAGAGGGAACACTGGTTTAGACTGTTCCGCCAAAGGAGCCCCTTGCTCCGAAGGCCCAACACCTCCTAACCTCCATCTGTGGACTCCCCCCCCCATAACAGAATCATAGAGCTGGAAGGGACCTCCGGGGTCCTAGAGTCCAACCCTCTGCACAATGCAGGAAGTACACAAATACCTGCCCCCTCCCACACACACCCAGTGACCAATGCTCCCGCTAAGCCGCGGAGTCTCGTGAGCAAGAATTCTACTTTGTGAGCTCCTGGCATTAAAGTTGTGAGCGGGCGATTTGGCGACTATATAAATTAGTTTGCTCTGGAGCCATCCTTCCTGAGCTAAGACAAAAATGTGTGAGCCAGAGGCTAAAAAACTGTGAGCTGGCTCACACTGACTCAGCTTAGAGGGAACACTACCAGTGGCCCATTCCATGCCCCAAAAATGGCAAAAAACCCTCCATAGGATCCCTGGACAAAACTGGCCTGGAGAAAAATGGCGACCAGCATTACCCTGGGCGTGTCAGAAAGGGCCATGAGAACTAAGTCCTGAGGCAACCCTTCCTGCCCTCCCTTCTCATGAACTGCCTAAGTTGACAGAATCAGCACTGCTGTCAGATGGCCGTCTAGCCTCTGCTTGAAAACCTCCAAAGGAGGAGAGCCCACCACCTCCCAAAAAAGCCTGTTCCACTGAGGAACCCCTCAGGAAGTTCTTCCGAATATTCAGCCGAAAACTCTTCGGATTTCATTTCCACCCGTTGGTTCTGGTCCGACCTTTTGAGGCAACAGAGAACGACTCCGCACCATCCTGTCTGTGACGGCCCTCCAAGTACTTGAAGAGGGTTCCCATATCACCTCTCAGTCGTCTCCTCTCCAGGCATCCCACACCCGCCGGACAACGCGGTGGCGGGAGGCCTGGCCGAGGGCTCACCTTGTGCAGCTGGATGGCCAGCTCCTGCATCTCCGCCTCCAGGCGGTCCGCGTAGGTCAGCTCGAGGGCGTCGCTGGGAGGTCGGGCGTTGCTGTGCCATCGGGCGATGGCGGAGGTCATCTTCCTCTTCGGTCCAAAGAGGCTGGAGGAAGAACAGCGGCAGCAATGGGTTAGCCCGGTTTGCGGTCTCGTCTCTTTCTGAGTTTGCTTTTGAAGAAGAAGAAGAGGAAGAAGAGATTTGGATTCATACCCTGCCCTTCACTGCCCAAAGGAGTCTCAGAGCGGCTCCTCTCCCTTCCCCTCCCCACAACAGACCCCCTGATAGGCAGGTGGGGCTGAGACAGCTCTTCTGAGAACTGCTTCTGAGAGAACAGCTCTGAAAGAACTTGTGACTGACCCAAGGTCACACCAGCAGGTGCAAGTGGAAGAGTGGGGAATCAAACCCGGTCCTCCCAGATTAGAGTCCGCACACTTAACCACGACACCAAACTGGCTCTCAATAAAATTACAATAAGTTAAGAAGAAGAGATTGGATTTATGCCCCGCCCTTCAGGAGGAGTGGGGAATCGAACCCGGTTCTCCCAGATTAGAGTTGCCGCACTTAACGCACTACACCAAACTGAGGGGGGAGGGCAAGCCGTAGTTCTGTCAGAGCGGTGGTGGTAGTGGCAGTGGTGGCTCCTACTCAAAGTCCTGGCGGAAGAGCTCCGTCTTGCAGGCCCTGCGGAACTGCACAGGGTCCTGCAGGGCCCTGATCTCCTCCAGGAGCTCGTTCCACCAGATAGGAGCCGCCACTGAAAAGGACCTGGCCCTCGTTGCGGCAAGCCTGGCCTCCTTAGGGTCCGGGGTCCCCAGCCGGTGTTGTGACCCCGACCGAAGAGCTCTTTGGGGAATATGTGGGGAACTGCGGTCCCTCAGTATTAAGCAACCAAAGCCTCCTCCCGGTTTGCAGGGGCGAGCGGCGCGGCCGACTCACGTGATGCCGATCTCCTTCAGGTCGCTCTCCGTTAGTGTCAGGAAAATGCGAAGGTCGACGTCCTGCTCCTCAAACACCGGCAGGTACTTCAGGCAGCCGATCTGCTCCAAGAAAGTGGCGAGGTCCTGGCGCCCGGGTAGGGCAAGCGGAGAGAAACAACAAATGCGTGGGCTCAGGGCATGGGAGGGCCTGGCTGACACAGACCCGCATCGCCATCGGTTCCCCCCGGAGCTCGGACTCTCTCCCCTGGCCGCTTCTCCAACACAAGGAGGGTTCCGCAGCCGCCACACCAGAGGGCTGGGGGAGGGACAACGTGCATAGCAAGCAGCAAAGCACCAAGGGAGCTCATGTTAGGCTGGAGATGTCAGCAGGCTTAAACGTGCCATGCTCAACGCCACCCGGTAGTGTAGGTGAGGGCACATACTTAGGAGGATGTCAGAGGAGGGAGAGCTTGTACCTGAATAGAACTTTGTCTTAAAGGTGCCACTGGACTGTTTTGGATTGCTAGCTATTGGGGGGGGGGGGAACGTGCAGATCTGCCCTCACAGAGGAGGGAGAGCTTGTACCTGAATAGAACTTGGTCTTAAAAGTGCCACTGGACTGTTTTGGATGGCTAGCTATTGGGCAGGAGGGACGTGCAGATCTGTCCTCACAGAGGAGGGAGAGCTTGTGCCTGAATAAAACTTGGTCTTAAAGGTGCCATTGGACTGTTTTGGATTGCCAGCTATTGGGGGGGGGGGGGGGAGCCGGGGG